CGCTCTTTTTGTTTGTAGTGATGTGACAATATATATAGCGGTGAAACTCCGACGAAACAGTTTGTCACAGCCCCTCGTTTGTTGTCCTCTTCTCTCTCTCTGCCTACGGTTTACCCGGCAGTTCTGTTTGTGACGATATATATATATATATATATATATGGGTAGCACCGTGTACGCTTACGCAGTGCGTACGCGTACATGTCCGAAAACACGCGTACGCGTACATATTATATTTATACATATTATATAATATATATATATATAATATACATAACGTGTATATGATATATATGATATATAATATAAACACACATGGTTGGCCCAAGGTGGGGGAAGACGATGGGGAGGAGGAGGAGGATGGAGACGATGACGGGGAGGAGGACGAAGATGATGACGGGTAGGAGGAGAAGGAAAATGCGGGGAGGAGGAGGAAGACGATGACGGGGAGTCTGGGGGAGGAGGACGAAGACGATGACGGGGAGGAGGAGGACGACGAAGGCGATGACGGGAAGGAGGGGGACGATGAAGAGACGATGAAGGGACAATGACGGGGAGGAGGAAGAGGGCGAAGGGGAGGAGGAGGACGAAGACGAAGGGGGATGGCACGTCTGGAGGCGCCCTCTCTCTCTCTCTTTCACACACACACAGGATGGGATGTCTGGAGGCGCCCTCTCTCTCTCTCACACACACACACACACAGTGGCACACACACACACACACTTACCGCCAACGGGGATGGCAACGGTGACGGCGACGGTGACTCGACGTGGTACGGTGCGACGGCGACTGCGATGGCAACGGCCACAGCGATGTTGCCTCCACGTGGCGGGGGTGAGGCGGGGCGCGGGGGTAGGCCATCCCACCATGAATTCGAAATTTGTGGTGGGATGGTCTACCCGTCGCCCCGCCTTACCCCCCGGCCCCACTTTGCCCCCTACCCACGGCTTCATTCACCCCCCAGCCCCTACGGGGCCTTACCGGGCCAAAACAGCCCCAAAAATGGTCCTCCTCTACCATGTACGTGGGACCCAAAAATATGTGCGCGCGCACATGTACGCGATGCGTACGCACGTACACGCATACGTGTCTGGTGTACGCGGAGCCCATGTACGTGTACGCGGTGCTACCCAGATATATATAGGCTGCGGAATTCATCACCAATGCCATCAACATTATCAATCTATTGCAGCCGACGCCGTCTGTGCCGAAGGGTGTCCAACATTTCCTCATTGTACACATCCCTATCACCCAGATATTCGTTGTCCCTCTTGTGCTCAAGGACACCATCAGGACTGCATGATGCCGCACTGTGATGAACGTCCTGCTGTTTTTTTGACACGTGGACAGCATGTCCTTTGTCAGGACTGTTTTGATGGGATGGTCCGTGCTAGCCGTCCTGCTGAATGCTGTCCTGAAGTAGCTCTCCTTGGGTATCCTTGTGAACATCCACGTCATCCTCAGCGTGCCTGTCCTATCTGCGGGGGTGGGGGCTCCTCTTCCTAACTGGTCAATAGAATCAAGCGAGCAGGAGCAACACTAATTGTAGGACAGATAAAAGAAAGAAAGAAAAAAAGTACAAATTTCTGGAGGAAAGAAAAAAGAAAACAAGAAAAAAGGAAAAAAGATAAAAATATGTTGAACTTTGTAGTGACAGTGGCAATTGGTTTATCTGTGGGATGTGTCATTTGCATTCTTCCTTTGTCTTTTCTTTGACCTTTCTCTTTCTCTTGCCTCTGCGAGGTCTGGTTTCCTCCTCCTTTTCTTTACCTCTTTGCCTTTTGGCTGAGTGCAAGTGGGTCCTTGTGACACACGGGGATGGGGCCAGCCAGCGCTCAACCTGTCATCCACGTGGCTGGCCTTGTATGTAAGAGGTGATGAACAGGTGGGGTTTTCCTTCCTTACTTCTTTTCCTTTCCTTGTTTTGCTTTTTTTCGCCTTCGCGCTCTGATTCAGTGTGACAATATATATATGATACTGAAGTTACTAACTGTATAATGCTTTTGCGTAAAGACCACACATTAAAACATTGTTGGGGATGATAGGGATAGAGTATTGAGGTAACTGATGGAATCAGATTATCAGACAGGCAAGATAAGGGGGCTAGGGGTCATGACAGACATAAAGGGTTCTTTTTTGGGGGGGAATATAAGGAGATTCGGGGTTTATAGTTTGAGGAAGACTAGCGCGTTTGATAAGCGGCCGAGGTACTGTTGGGATCACCCCTCCCCCCGTGCCCTGCCCCCCTCGGGATTACCCTGCTATGTGCCTGGGTGCTGCTAGTAAGTTTCCCGACCTGCAAGGTAATCCCTGAGGTAGGGCTATGGGCTGGGCTTGGGATGGTCCGTAGCAGCCCCCCCTTGCTTAGGCGGCTCATGCCACAAGGGTATGTCTGTTCCTTTCTCTTCTCTTGTCTTTTCTCCCTTGTTGCTTGTGAAACATGCTTGCCGGTGATTAGCAACCGGACTGATGCTCCCCAGAATAGAAGGGGCTGTGTTGTGTGTTTAAAAAAAAAAAAAGCAGCGAAAAAAAAAAGGTTACTAACTGTAGCAGGACGGAAAGCGATTGCATTTCTTTCGATGCCTGTTCTCCATTAGCTGCTAAAACAAAGCTCTGGTGTTTCTTTTCTTTTCTTTTCTTTTCTTTTTTTTTTCTTTTTTTTTTTTTTGGTGTTTTCTTTTCTCCTTTCCCAAAATCATCTGAGACTTTAGTCAGTGAAGGTCAGCTCAAGGAGAGCCTTGTCAGTCTGCACTGCAGGTCAGAATTTCTCAGAAAACAATTTGTCAGTAAGACTATGTGAAACATTGAAGCGAAAGAGAGAGATCTATCGCATCATCACTGCTCGGATTTTTCACAGACTGCAATCCTCAGTAGATTCTGATCGGTACTTTAGGGTTTCAGGCCCCGCCATGCATGCATGGCCTCGAACCGGCACCCTCAGTCACAGGAACCAAGTCTCTTATAACCACTACAGGCAGGACGCGGTGTTCAAAAGTGGAACCATACCGGTGGTGATATCCCCCCCACCCCTGCAGGGCAGGGCTGTAGTGTCCAATGCACACACACCACACACACCACCACACACACACGGCAGTCCATGAACACTTTGGTCCAACAGCACGCGACCCACCACCGCTACTTAACCCGGCCACACGCCTGGGCCAACTTCCTGCGGGTTCCATGGGCGCCCTCAGCCTGACAATACTTCCCAATGAGACAGCGTCCTCACCGCTCCTCTTTTTTCTTTCTTTCTTTTTTTTTTTTTTAAGGGGATTGAGTTATTGCGAGGATCCTGGGTCCTTGGCAGGCCTAAGGGGCCCCTGCTGCAGATGTGCCCGCCCTAAGTGAAGGCGGGCCTAACAAATCACGAGAGGCCCTCAGCTGTCAATTTCGTATTTGGGGTCCAGGCAGTTTCGACCCGCCCGTTGGTTGAGGGAAACACAGGCCGAGCAGCAAGACAGTCCACGGCCTTCCAGACCTTTCCAAAAATGCAGGCCCTGGGCAAGAATCGCAGCCTCATACACAGGCAGTTGGAAGGCCCAACCGAACGGAGGCCCAGCAGCAGCATCGGAGGCACAGCCTCCTGGGGCCTACCGGAAGCTTCTGGGCAGAGGCCCAGGCCAGCCAGGCCGCCGAGAGAGGCAGTCTCTTTGAGCTCGCTGCCTGGCCAGGCACTCAGCACTTGCATGCTGGCGGCAGCGCTGCTGGAGCGGACGCTCGTGGGCTGCTGCTGGCGCTGAGAGGCAAGGTGTTAGTGCGTGCGGTCGTGCAGGGAGCAGGGCGCTGCTGAGGGCAGCGCCATAGCCCAGCCTCCATAGCTGGATGGGCTTGGACTACAGCGAGGCGCAGGAGTGGTCTTCGGGTGTACAGAGGGAAGACATGGAGTAAGTCAGGGGAGAGAGAGAAGGATGATGATGATGATGATGTGAGGGCACATACCTGGTATTGGCGATGGTCTGCATTGGGCGACATCTTCAAGTACTTCGTGGGCTGCTGACATCAACAGTTGCATTGTCAATTAGTAGGCAGACTGTAGCTGTGTAGGAAGTAGGCTGGGCGCCGAGCGCCAAGTAGGGAGATAGGGCCTGGATACTCCTGTTGGTGGTGGCGAGAGCAAGCTCTCATTGACATTGGTTTTCAGTGTTACGATTCTTCATTTATATTGGTGCATTTCTGCTTTCGGGACACGGTGATACTATCTGGCCTTCAATGTGATTGTGCATTCTGGACATTGTCATCTCACTACTCCTCATTTTCTTTGCATTATCATTATTGTGACTGTGGTCCCATAATGCATGATTGCTGAACTTCCCCTTGTGGCTATCTATTACTGGCTATGTGGGTGTGACGTGTGATGGCCTAGTGTTCAGTGTGGTGTGCACCATCTGGTTTAAATTGACTTCTTGGACATCAAGGTTGCACTCAGTAGATGGCATTTCTTTAAGTCTTGGATTTTTTTCGTGGGTGTTTGTGTGTGTTGTAGATTGTCACCGCAACAGCCCCCGTTCCACCCAGATGAGTAGATGCAAAATCAAAGCAGCTTTACCTCTATTGCAGACAATGAAGCACACTAAAGATGAGCCAATCCAACAATGAAGCAGTTTTACCTCTATAGCAAACAACACGAAGCAGAATAGATCCGTTATATTCCTTTCTTCGCTATCTTTACTTTGGCTTTCTTTGGGGTACCCCTTTCATTTGTTCTTGCAGCTCCCTTTTTACTGTGCCTCCGACATACAAGGCTTGCCGTATTCATTGTGGTTGAGCGTGAGCTGCCCACATTCCTGTGTGCCATAGCGCGGTGTGTGTTTGTTTCTGTGTGTATGCATGACTGTGCCAGACTGTTTCATGAGACTTTCACCAATTCATCAGGTGTGTGTGTGTGTGTGTGTGCGCGCGCGCTGGCGGGGTTTTGCTCTTTGGTCAAACTGCTGTGAGTTTTTGTTTGCTAGGCTGGTGGACCGGATTTGACATTTTTTATCGATGTTCTTTTGACTCCTCAGGCCGCGGCTGCACTCGGTAGGGCTCTGATGGGTACCATTCTTTTAGGAGCTTTCAAGGGAGAGGGCGAAACTGTTCAGGTATGCCCTGCAAAATGTGCATGCTACGATCCCAAATACTGCTAAATTAGCAATAGGCAAATTGCATCTCGTCATTCTAGAACCAGCCACTCGTATCCTATCTAATATTTGTCACATTATAAGACAGATTCCTGTGATACTCATCCCCCATTTTTTATGGCAACATTGCAACACTATTATTTTTTGCCCTCCACCCCCACCCCCCTTGATTTCTCTCTTCCTCCTCCCCCCCCACCCTCTCTCTCTTCCCTTACAAGTGCACTCTGCATTGTTTTGTGATGCTTTCTTTCCTTGAATGACAATGCATTCTTGATGAGCGTAACTGACACACACACATAGACAGGCAATGTCGGCTGCGGAACCCCAAGAAACTTGCTCAATGCTGCGCTGCGATGACCCAACTGATGTTCGCCCAGTATGTGATCGGCTTGTGTCGTAACAATCATGAGGGCATAGTCCATGCAAGTTTTTGTTCTCATGCCTATGATGACTGTAATAAGCCCAGTTCAGAGGGCATCGCTTTTGGTCAAAGGCCAGAAATAGGGGTCCAAAGTCACGTCCCTACCGTCTTCACCCGAATAGAACGCCCGGTCATTATCACCGCATCTAGACTTAAATTTCGACCAAATACAGCTATAATGACCGGGCGTTCTATTCGGGTGAAGACGGTAGCCTGAGAAATGGCTGAGAAAGTGCCTGGGGGGTCAAGGGGTACCAAGATCTGAGTCTAAAGCCTGTGTCCAGTACCCCAACGTGCAACAGTTGACTCTTGGAAAATCAAGAGTCAACCCAAGCACGGGATTCCAGGCCAAAAGTCAAAATCAACGCGTTGGTCAGCCACGACCGTCGATCCGATGCACATCAGTGGTTGTCGGCAGACTCTGCAGGTATCCAGAAGATTCCAGTACAAGTGGGACACAAGGGAAAGCTGGGACCGTGCTGCATCCAGGCCATTGGTTTTCAGATCATCTGGGCTGTCGACCCAAGGAGACTGGAGGCTCTGGTCAAAGTGAGTCAACACTACATAGAGTTCACCCAGCCACTGTGGAGATCATTCTGCCTTGCACTGAATTTATGCTAGTACGATATCGCGAGGCTGCTGGAGATTATGCTGGCGCCCGTGCTGTTGTGTGCGCGCCAGCATCAGGGGAGATTACGTTGGAGCGGCCATTGCTACAGACATTGGTGTTGAGGTTGGACGAGGAGGAGGAGGATCGAGACTGTGAGACTGGAGAGGGTTTGAGGGGAAGCAGCTTACCTGGACTTAACCTGGCGACGTCGTGTGTGTTCTGCTGCTTGTCTCCACGAAGGCGAGGAAGATCTGTGCCATCCTCCCTGATTGGCTGCTGATGTGGATGGAGGATGGGCGCCCGGCTGTGAACTGCACAATTGTATCTGTCAGAGAACGTCAGAGAGAGAAACTGCATTGCTGAGGTGGCGACAGGGGGGATAATGTCCGAGGATGAAGTGGGCAGGAAGAGACTTCATGTGTGGTCGATGGGGACTCTTCTTCTTCTCCTCCTCTCTGTCTCTTTTCCCCACTACCTCATTCTCTTCTCTGAAGTTACGATGCTCTTGGAAACTGGACATATGCTGGGCATGGACATAGAAAGGAGATACTGCTCTTTCCATTGTATCCAGTACTGTTTTTGAGAGGAAGGGTTTTGAGGATATATCCCGTCGTTGACAGCTATATAGATCATGGCATTATGTTGGATTCGCATTCACCCAAACCTTCCTCTTGTGGTATGCTGCCCGTGAGAAACAGGGAGTCACATCAGATACCTGATTCCTTGCTTCCTAGAAAAGAAAAAAAAAAAAAAAAAAAAAAAAGGGAAAACACTCAGAACATCACTGGGCAGATTCACCGAGGTCATAAATGCGGCCTGATACATTTCAAACTTTTATCCTGACAACGCCCTTCCAACGTTACTTTTCTTTTTTTTTTCCTTCTTTTTTTTCACGTCGTGGCATATTTTTATTCTTCCTTTTTCATGCCATTTGCTCTCGACGTCTTCTGTGTACAGGTAATAAAGGGACATTTTTCTGTCTTTTCCTTTGTCATTCTGGTTTGTAAATGTCCGGCTCGGCAAGGATAATTACTGATCCTAGTGTTCTCTCTTTCTGCTTGTTAATTGTCAACTCATTGAGTGCAGTTGAGCATCAAGGGTGGTGGTCCTCTGGGGTTCATGACCACAGTCGGTGACACGAAAGGGCAAGTCAAGGGGCTGGTCACAGAGCCATCTGCTAATCCCCCTCTGAAAGAGAATGGAAAGGTAAGAAGAGGTTCTCGTAGTCTCTACCCAGCAATTGCAAGGATGCACAATGATGGATTGGTGTACCCGGAATAGCTGTCGCATGCCTTCATGAGGCTTCATCCAGTCAGCAAGTTGATATGAGTCTTTTGACAGATGTTTTCAGAGTTTTGAAAAGCCAAGTTCGTCACAAACAGTTTCGCAAAAACAATCCTTTAGCAAGGCCTGCCTGACTGGCTTGCTTTTCATGGCTTTGGCTATGGCTACGGTTATGGCCATAGTGGGGACCACCCATCACCAGACCAGACCCTTTTTTCGCTCGCCGAGTTCCCTTCTGTGACTGCAATTTATTACTTAAGTGTATAACTGATGATACATGTACGGTTCACCAGGCAGTTTTAATTATCTATAACGGCGTACTTTAGGCAGAGAGGGAGGAAAGGACAACAAGGCAGAGAGGGAGAAAAGGACAACAAACAATGGGCTGTGACAGACTGTTTCATCAAAGTTTCACCGACTCAAGTATTATTATAACTATGCTTGTACTTAGTGCTATTTGTAACATAAATTTCTACCTATTCTAGTACCTAGAAGAAAAAAAAAATTCACAATCAATTCAATGAGGAGGGCTGAAGTCTCTGAAGTCCGACAAATAATGTTCTAATATCGGAAATAGTGTCGATGTCTATGTTACTAGAGTGGCCCGGGACCACTTGCCCGGGCGGGCCAAAAAGGAATACAAAATTAAAAGTCAAATATCGTCAAACGGAACTGCCTGGTAAACCGTAGGCAGAGAGGGAGGGAGAAGAGGACAATAAACAAGGGGCTGTGACAAACACTGTTTTGTCGGAGTTTCACCGACCAACTCATCAGGAGGCTGAACCCTCAACAGTCTGCAGAATCCCCTGACTGAGTACACTGTAAGTGATAGGCCACCTTAACTCGATTGTGGTTAAGCATCAACTATACCTTTTTTTTTTTTTTTGGACCACCAGTACACCCGAGGCTAAATGTACGAGCCAAAGTTTTGAATTTTGCCGAGCCTGAAAGCAACCGGTACCAGCTCTTGGAAAGTAGAGGTCGGTACCGGTACCGGCCTTGGTCGGATTGAGTGGTGGACCTGCTGGACTGAAAGGAGGACGATGTTTTCACTCACTAGCCACTCAGACAAGCTCCGATGGACTAGTCACAAGTTCTGAATGCTATTGCCTTCAAATTCATCAACGCATGGCCTTAATTGCAGCCAGATACATTCGGGGAAGAGCTAGCATGAGTGTGCGCTGGGAAGAACGGGCTGACACTCTGAACCACTTCCTCCCCGCCTCTCACGGGAAGTGATTTCTTTTATTTCTTTTTTTTTTTTTCCAGAATGAAGATACTCTTTTGTTACTTTTTGAAAAAAAAATGGAAAAAAAAAATGAAAGGGGCGCACGTTTGCCTTCAGATTCATTCAGACGGGCTGTTATCGCAACCAGATACATTCAGGAAAGAGCTAGACTGAGGGCATACTCACACTAGGACCTTTTTACATATTTATGGACGTGATTGTGGTCAGATGCATCCAGGTCTGGCCTTGATCGCAGTCAGATGCGTTTCGAAAAGTGCTAGTGTGAGTATGCCCTGAGTGTGCCCTGGGAAGAAAGGGCCTGACACTCTGAATCACTTCCTCCCCGCCTCTTACAGGGAGTGATTTCAGAATGACGATAGGTTTCTCTTTCGTTTTGAAAAACAAGGGGCGAAAAAAAAAATGAAATGGGGCATGTTCGCGATCAGATTCATTCAGGCAGGGCCGTTATTGCAGCCAGATACATTCGGGAAAGTGGCGGTGCTATAATGCCCTTACCAGAAACGGGCTGGAGTCGGGGAGGCAGGGAGTGTGTTCAGAAAGGGCAAAGTTCCGACAAACACCTGTTTTTTTCAGAGAAAATAAAAAAAAGAAAAAGAAAGAAAGGATAAATTCAATGGACTTGTCCGAGAAAAAATACTGCAGAGAGGTTTTTTCGCGCTAGCGCCGCCCGGTTAGCGCATCGCTGCGCCCGCGCCGCGCCGTCCCCCGGCCCTGCACGGGCATCGACTTGAACCGCTCTGAAGGTCGCGCTCTCGCCATAGCTCGACCCACGTCGGACACCACAAGCGCGCGCCTTCATGGCCACCGAGTAGAATGAATGCAGGAGGGAAGCCGCTAGGAGGGCATCGCCCGGACTTTAAGAGGCGCGCATGCGCCCTTGCCATCACAAAAGTGGGACAACGCTGAACATCCTGAAGTAATCAAGTACAGCCGTCACCGAATTCCAGAGCTCCACGAGGACCAACATCAGCAGTGAGAGCAACTTGCTAATTTCCACATCCGACCCCCGTCCCCGTCCAGTCCTCATTCATCCCTTCTTTCAACTCTTCATCCCCCTCTGACTGACTCCTGTCCACTCACTCTCCGATCGCTTCTCTTCTCTATCCTTTTCCAGCCTCCTTCCGATGTCACTTTGATCCGTATTATTCGTATCAATTCCCCCCCCCAACTTCATCCCACTCAATTCTTCACCCGATCCCAACCTCACCTCAACTTCTCTCACTTTGTAATCCTCCTCGACTCAGCGTGACTCGCGCTTAACTCTCTTCCGACTGTCAGTCTGACCCGACCCTAAGATCATCCCTTTTGCCACTGTCGTATACCCACCCCTCCCAATAGCTTTCGCTTGCTTCTTGTAGTTCGTTTTCTCTCCCTCAACCCCAAAAAGTGGCGCCTCCCAAATCGGGTCTGTTTCGATTTCACTCCTGATCCCAACATTGTTCCCAACTTCGTCCCCGCTTACCGCCGGCTTCGACGGCCTTTCAATCTTGTTCCGGCTCAAGTCCACCTCAACTCAAACCGCTCCCCAGATTGATCCCGATTACCCCCGTCTCTGAGTCATTCTCTTCTTCTTTTTCAACTTCGATCTCAACCTCTTCTTCAATTTCACTTTCAATCTTAATCCCAACCTCCCTTTTCAATCTTCTTTTCTCCCGTCTCCAACCCCGATCCCAACCTCGATGTCAATCTCGATTTCAATCCTTTTAGTTTCTCTTCTTCGTTATTGACTCCAGCATTTCCCTTCTCAATTACAATCGCCGCTCTACTCCACTTCCTCCCCAATCCTTTCGCAACCTCACTCCATCTTACTTCCGAAACGCACCCTCCTCAGCCCCCCCTCGCGCTCGCCGCAAATCCCCCCGTGATCCCACCCCGACCGCAACCCTAGCTCTACCCCATCCCGACCCCATTTCGACCCCATCTCATTCCCATTTCCCGCCCGACCTCAACCTGATTCAACCCCGACCCCACCCCGATCCCAACCCGATCTCATTCCAACACCTGCCCAGTCTCAACCCGACCCCACCAATCGGCTCCGTAGATAACACACTTCGGTCCTTTCATCTCTCTTAACCATCTTCGATCCCTATCCCATTCCACCTCTGAAGTGCATCTACCTCGTCCCCACCTCGTTCTTCCCCAGACCCCTCCCTAAATGAAAACCGACCATATCCCAGTCCTATCCCGATCCCTACGCAACCACTTTGCGATCCCTGCGCGTCCCATCCCGACCCCATCCCATTCCCGACCCCATCCCCGTCCCAATCTGAACCCACCCCGAGCCCATCCCAATCTCTACCCGACTTCAACCTGATGCCACTCTGATACCAACCCAACCCCGTCCCGACTCCACGCCGTTCCCACCCCCGACTCCTCTTCGAAACCACTCTCTCCCAACTCTCATCCCCGTCAACACAACCGCCTTGCGATCCCAGCTCATCCCATCCCGACCCCACCCCGACCCCATCCCACTCCTAACCCTATCCCGATCCCAATCCGAACCCATCCCGACCCCGTCCCAATCTCTACCCGACTTCGACCCGATCCCTCCCCGATACCAACCCAACCCCATCCCGATTCCACACCGTTCCCACCCCCGACTCCTCTTCGACACCACCCTCTCCCAACACTCATCCCCGATCTGTCCCCCAGCTCCCGACTCGCTACCACCCCGATCCCGATTCATCCATCTCACTCCTACATCGTCTTCTTCTCACCCCCTTTTCATTCCCAATCTCACCCGTTTTCCTCCTTCTCCCATTTTCGATCCGACCCTTACCTCAAGTGAACCACTCCCACCTCAACTGACCACAACACCGTCCTCACCCCTCTCCCAACTCCAATCTGACCCCACCCGATCACCCGATCCCCAATTCAATCCCCCTCCAACCCCGAACTGAGACCGCTCCCTTCTCGCCCCAATCCTATCCCGATCACCCGACCCCCCTGCCGGCCCTCTACGCCCCCTTCTCCATTACCAACCACCCCGTTACCTCGTCATCTCCTCTCCGTAGACTTTCTTGGTCCGGACCCCATCCCGCAGAAGTTATCCAGCTAATCCTTCTTCTTCCTCAATTAACTCACCATTGGTCGTATAGGCTCGTTTTGATTACGCATGTTCGCTCTCATTTAATTGTTTGTAAGATCTCACGATCGGAGGCAAAGGGTCAATCGCATCTCTCCTAGCAGTAGCTAGCTACTAATCATTGAGGCCTTACAACAAAGTACGACTCAACAGCAGTCGAGAATCGTCTAATCTGTTGTCTATCCTTCAACGAACACCCCAAAGATGGCAACGACAACAGCCGAAAACGAGGTCCCCGACAAGCAAGCCAATATCATTGACAATGAGGCCCTTAAATTCCTAATCGAGCGAACGAAAGTACACGGGATCGAATATACCGAAACACAGTTGGTCGATGGAAAGCAGAAAGAAGTAGTAGTCTGGAAGTACCCTGAGGAGAAAGTCGCACAATTGGATGATCTGCATGAAAAACATGGAGTGGTTTTCAACTTCACACGCCACGGCGCAGATCTCCAGCCCGCGGAAAAGAGAAAATGGGTGATCGACACGATCAGAAAGGAGCCGCGGCTCAAACATATAGGGGAGACGTTCTCCTTACAAAGCCTGGGACGTAATAACATCATGGTCCTGTTCGTCAATGAGGAGCATGCAAAGATAACAGCGGAAATGCAATCCAGGAATTGCCATGGCTCGGTCTGCACAATTACAAAATGGAAGAAACTGTCAGCCCAAAGGCAGACCCCGACCTTTGCAATCTCCTATAAACAGACCCTGATGAAGGAGAATTTCTGGGTTCAGTTCGATAACATTCAGCCGGGCTTTCAAGGCCTGCTGGTCGACAGGCTTGAGAGACAATACCCGGCCAATAGAATTCTGAAGTGGATCCTCCCCACGCCAGATTTTCTGGCTCCACATTGCGGATCTATGACTGCGATCTTGGATGTGCAAACGRACGACCCTCCAGTATTTCCACAGACATGGAACCTGCAGATCGAAAGCAGAATGGTTGAGGTGAGAATCTCTACACGCACATCCCCAATATGCTTTCGCTGCAGGGAGCGAGGTCATGTGGGCACTGACCCCGCTTGTCCGAAATTTCCGAAACAACCAAAGGATAGGAAACTGTCGCCCAACATGCTGCTAGAAGTGGAAGATGCCCCCGGTTTCTGGTTCGTGGCGGAGCCAACCTATGACGACTGGGTCTTCGACGACAACCTCGACGAGCCGGATTGGGTATGGCACTTTACAGACCTAACTCCTACCACCAAGAAACCAGACATCTTCCCTCAGGCGGACAGCAGGTGGCAAAAGAAGGCCACCGGAAAGGTAAGAGGCAATCCGACAACGATCAACACCATGCCGATTACCGACTCTAGGGTGATCAGGGAAGAGAAAGCAAGGGAAGACTTACTGACGGACTTGGACACAATTAGAGAGCAGGTAGAAGAGGAATACAACAAGAACCCAGATTCTTTCAAGGAGGCACTGAAACAAGCAGAATTACAAACGTACAAAAGAAGGGTTAAAACCCATCCAGTCAATAAACGCCAATTACACGAAGGGGGCAAGGCCGGGGAGAAAGAATCGGGCCCGAAAAGAAGAAGGGTCGAGGGACCAGCAGGGGAATGGGACAACAACAAATCAGGAGCGGATAACGAGGGTGAGGAAATGGACTTTGATGTGGTTGGGGAGCAGGCTGATGACGAAGCAGATCCCAAACCGGAGTCCGGCCCCGCGAAGGAGGATGAGCATGAGCGGGAGGAACAGTCCCTAGCGTGGATAAGACATTATGTGGAGAAGGCGAAAAGGGAGAGGGAACACGCTTTCGATGTCCGGGTAGCATGTTTAAAACATGCGGAACGATCCCAAGCGAATGGGAAGAAGAATGTAATTGCTGGAATCAGTAATTCACCCAATCAGTTCGCAGCCCTTCTGAAAGTTAAGGCGGATGAGTTCTCCGAGTATGCAGCCTTCAGATATGCAGAAAAAAAGAGGGCAAGAGAACAGGGAACGGAAGACAAAGACAAAACAATTCCCACAACCAAAGATATCTTCCAAGACCGACGCCCCAAGACGAGGAAGACAAGTAAGACCCAGAAAAAAAGGGAATCCAACGAAGAGCAAGGGGGGGGGGAAGATAAACCAGAGCGGGATCTGTTGGAAAAAGAAATTGTAGTCGTTTTGTCCCAAACAACGATTGCGCAGATTGCAAAGGGGAAAGCACCCATGGTTGTGGAAGCAGCCAATGCAGCCCGCAGAACATTGAGGAACATCAGACCGCTCATCGCGGCCAGGTATGACCCCAAAATGAAGGAATGGTTAGTGGCAACCGACGTAGCCTTCCAAATTCCACACTTTGTGGAAGGAGAAAACRTTGTCAAGGCCTTAAGAAACCATGTCACCTTCGATGTCSCTCTGGGTCTGTTTGAGACGGTGGCTTTAGAATCAGACATGGACGAGACCGAACCCCAAGAGGGCTCAGAGAGCGATCCCAAAACCAAGGAGCTAGCTGGCAGGAAGTCCCCGAGGGCCTTCTCACCCTTGATCGCCAAGATGCCCGAAGAGACGCAGCTGCATTCCGGAATGAGATGGAGACCATGGCGGACGGTGGCTGAAGTACCTTACAACATTCTGGCTGGCCTGGGAGTGTCTGCGGAGTTGATGGCCACTTCAGTGGCTAGCATTGTGGAGGCAGGGCAGCTAGATGGGGATGAAGATTTGGACATGAGAGCATATGCAATAGATGATGAGAGGTTTTACAAAAGTGAAGGATCAGAGGGTGACGCAAAGGACGGCGATGACGAGTGGGAGAAGATGGACAGGCTGATCGATTTGGAAAAAAAGGGAAAGGGACAGGTGGACACTGAGGGGAGAGGAGGGGAGGAGCCGGGCAAGGTGACTTCGGAGGGGAGCTCCGACGCCGTGTTACAAGATGACAAAGGAGGGCAAGAGGAGAGAGAAGACAGCCTGGGGGCTGACGCATCCCCTCCCCCGCCCACCTAAGCAAATGAGCTACAAGCCTAGACAGACAACGGACTCAGCCCGATGGTTTCGATGGAGGGATTTAGGAATAGAGCGAATGAGGTAGGGAAACAGGTGGATTGGAGGAGTCAAGGTCTGGTCCTTAGGAGCTGGAATGTCAATGGACTTGGAAACATAATGGAAAAGGAAGAGAAATGGAATGATATATGGGCCGGATTGTCACAAGGCAGCAAAAGGACTGCCGACGTAGTAATGTTCCAAGAAACCCACCTCTCCCTGTCAACTGACCACAACAGAATACGTAGGTTCATTGCAAAGAAATTAGGCGGCCTGGGTGACGAAGTTTGGGCGGCGGACCCAGATTCCAGAACAAAGGGAACGACCATCTTAATCCCCAAAGCCTCCCGCTTCTACCAAGCAGGCACGGTGATTGACAAGAGGGCGGACCAGAGGGAAGGGAGATGGTGCTTATTACACCTGAAGTGGAAAGAGGAAGAATTTGTACTCCTCAACATCTACGCCCCAAACTCTCGCACGGAACGCGCAACGTTTATAAGACAATTAAGTCAACTGTTCCCGCCATTGACCCCGTGCATTATAGCGGGAGACTGGAATGCCACAATTGAGCCGGCAATAGACCGTATATCCCGATCTGCCAGTCTATCCAACTCAATGGAAGCTGTTCCAATCCAGGAACTGATGCTGGACCACGACTTGGTAGACCCCCTCAGGATGATGCATCCTGACTTAAGAGCTTTCACCTTGATCAAGAAAAATAACGCCAATCATACCGCCTTCTCCCGGATAGATTTCTTTCTAGTGTCAAAAGTACTGATGGGAGCCGCCAAGGAGGCAGAGATCCTTCCTCTAGCACCATACCCGGGGCTAGATCACAAGCCGATTGAACTAGTCTTGGGCTTCAACCAAATGGTCACGAGAGGGGCCAGCTTCCAAATAATTCCCTTCTACTAAGTCAGACCTTTCAAAGCGAAGTATGTGACTGTTGGGAGGGTCAGAGACTCTCACGCCTAAGTAATGAACCTCGATGGGAGTGGTTCTAGAAGAGCTACGCAAATCTCTCAGAGGCGGTGGCCAAGGTCTCAAGGAGACTGGCCTCAATAAGGAAGCAAAGGAAACAAGCCCTAGAGTTCGCATTGAAAGTGGCTGAGATTAATCTGACCAACAACCCTGCCTCCCCATTGTACAGCGAGGTTTTCGAGAAAACCCGTGAAGAACTAGCCATGTGGAGGTGGTGGGAATTGAAGGGACTACAAGTAAGAGCAAGAATGTGTGAATTTGAACTCTGCGATTCGATGACGAAATACTTCTTTGCGCGGATAAAAGCCAACTCAAGAGTCAGCACAATAAAGGGGCTGAAATCCCCCGCTGAGCCAGAAGTAGTAAGATCAGACAGTGAAGGAATACTAGAAATAGCCAACAGCTTCTACAAGGATCTCTATCAATCTAAGACACCGGGCCTACCAACGGTCCAGGTGAGAGAAGCGAGACGGAAAATGCTGCACTATCTCGAGCCAACGATTTCAACGGAACAAGCTGAGGAGTTAGACAAGCCTCTCTCGACGGAGGAGCTACACCAGGCGCTCCTGACTATGAACAATAATAAAACCCCCGGAATCGATGGACTAACCAAGGAATTCTGGGAAAAATTCTGGCCTCTCATGGGGACTGACTTGCAGAACTTCTATACTGACAGCTGGTCTAGAGGAGGGCTGGGCAACTTACTCAGCAGCAACGTAGTCACGCTGCTCTACAAAAAAAGGGAGAAAGAAGACATAAGGAACTATAGACCTATCTCCCTGCTGACACTCCCATACAAGATCTTGGCCAAGGCCTTGTCCAACTGGATCACTAAAATCACAAACAAATGCTTCCACATTGATCAAACGGGTTTCATCCCTGGACGCTACATCCTTGACAACGTAATGACACTCAATGAATCGGTAAGGAAAATCAGGGAAAGGAAAATCAACGCAGCCATCTTGTTTTTCGACTTTGAGAAAGCGTCTGACCAAGTCAACTGGGATTTTATGGAGGAAAGCATGGAAAGAATGGGTGTTGGACCAAATTTCAGGAAGTGGGTCAGGATACTGTACTGGGATGCTGTAGGTTGTGTGCAGGTAAACGGGTTTTTATCTGAATCCTGCCCGATCTCCCGGTCAGTCCGCCAAGGGGACCCATTGGCCCCATCAATTTTTCTCTTCGTGATGGAAGCAATAGCTTCCTTCCTGTGCAAAGACCCCTCTATACAAAGACTGGCCAGCACAGAAGTGGGTACAGCCCACCAGGTGGACTTTCCCACAGCTATCATGTTTGCCGATGACCTGACGGTCCTGATCAGGGCTTCGGACTCCTCCTTCAGAACCTTAGCCAGAGCAATGGAGGCGTTCAGACTAGCTTCAGAAATGAGGATTAATTGGGGGAAAACGATAGGATGGTGGCTCTCCGACGACGAACCCCTCTCTGTTCAGGGAGAAGAGGCTGCCATGACATGGCAAACGCCGGCCACGCCTACCCGTTATCTAGGCATCTTGATGACAAAAGACGGGTTGGCAGCTCAAATGGGACCCTCAATGTTGACCAAACAAATCAACAAGATAGGGAGATGGGGCAACACGTTTATGTCCCTCTTTGGTCGAGCGCTGGTCCTCGACACGTCTGTTTTCTCAATGATGTGGTACATAGCCTCTATCTGGACAGTTCCCGACAGCTCGGTGAAGGAGTTGAACCGTAGAGCCAGGCTTTATCTGTGGACGGGCGACCCCCACAAAGAAAAATGCATCCCTAAAATAGCTTGGCACTATGTCACAAGAGTCCTAGGAATGGAGGCCTGGGCCTCATTGACCCGGGGACAGAGACCAAAGCCTTGCAAATAAAATGGATCATTAAACTGCTGACAAACCCAGACACCGCTTGGAACAAGTTGGCATTAGACAGCATGAGGGCGGTGGCCCCTACCCGCTCCCCACCCGACATGTCAGGACTGTTCTGGGTCATGAATAAGGAATGGAGGATAACAACGGGACACAGGAATCGGACTAGGAATAACAGAACAGAAGATGTCCGACCTCCCTCCCCGTACTGGCCGGTGCTGCTTCGACTCTGGAGGAGAATTTGTCCCACCAGGATCAACAGACCAAAGTCGAAAGACGAAATACTCAGACAGCCGCTATTTGGTAATGAATGGATAACGAACGAGGCCAACAATCCGATATATATGGAACAAAAATGGTTGTCATGGGTCAAGAACGGGATCTGGAAGATAGACCACTTGTGGAAGGAGGATAGAAAAGACTGGGCTATGGAGCAAGAGGTTAATGCACATCTGAAAGGATGCCACAAGAGAGAAACCAACTTGCAGTACCTAATTAGTTGTATCCCGCAAGAATGGAAGGATATCCTTGCCAAGGACGAGCCGTGGAGAGCTGGGGACTGGGGCCTCTTGATCCAAGACACCCCTCCTACTAGAGCATACCAATTTTCCCACATGCAGCGTGATTCACCCACCAACGCCGTCTTCCATTCCTTCCCAATAACCACCACGGGCTCAGATATGCCTGCCATCCATAATTGGGAAGTCGAGTGCTCCACACTAGAGTTTTTTCTCCTCAGGAAGGTCAGGGTCATAGGCACATGGCCGAAGTCGATTTTTAGACCAGATACGACTATTCGAGCCTTAGAATTTGACCCGGAAGAGTGGGCATGGACCTCAGGCAGCAATCGGAGTGTCAAGACGAAAACTCCGGTTCAAGATTATACCATTAAATTTGGATACGGACTACTACTGAAGACCAAAGACCCAGATCCCATTATCCTAAACAGATGGTGAAAGCTGGTGGGACAGGAAGCCGAAAAAATCCAACGGATCCCATGGAAAAAATATGCACAGATCAGACCAGTTAAGATCAGAAGTCTGCAGTGGTTGATAGCGTACGCTGCCTTACCAGTGAACCAATGGCTGCACACTAGGCGTAAAGCTTCTAATCCGGATAGCTCGGAGATATGTACAGTCTGCTCGGCAGGAGCGGTAGAGGACATAGTTCACTGCCTGGTGCACTGTGTGGAGGCGACAGACTACTGGGCGAGAGCCTCTTCCCTGTGGGACTCCCTCTTCTCTTCCCCTTTCCCTGAACAACCCATCCAGCTACTCCTCCTCACTAACATCCCCACGATGACTCGGAGGGCGGAATCGAATTGGTTTGAACTCATCAGGAAGGTGACCCTATGGGTGATCTGGAAGGAGAGATGCAGCAGATCAATTGAAGGACTATCAAATCCAAGGGACAAGGTATGGAAAGAGTCCAAGTCGATTATCCAAGCAGAGATATTGTGCAGATGGAGGAGAATCAAGCTGAAATGGCCCGAGGACGAAGAGCAGAGAAAGAAAGTGAGATCGAAATTTAGCAGGAACTGGCTGATTAGCGGTAAGGTGGCCGAGATCCGGGAAGACCGGGTGAGCTGGAAGGACTGGCATAACTCGATTCCGGATAGGTTTGTACGGCAAAAGTCACCAACGGAGGAAGCAACTACGACTTGAAGGGTTGGGGTCGAAGGGGGTTTCACCGGATTAGGTTGCAGGAGACCGCTTCCACAGGGTCTACCTGCCTTGTCACCTCAGCCGTTCGCCACAATCCAGCACGGGCCGCTTGTGGCTCTAGAGGAAGAAAGGGGAGCGAAACTGCGTTCGTCAGTAAGAATCATCCGAGCCAACAGG